TGAATACCGCAAAGCGAGCAGCCAAGGTGGCTCGCCACCAGCTTTTTATGGCTATCTAAATTGAAGTAGTAGGTTATCACTCAAAACCTCCGTAAATTCTGCAAAAAACCATCTTATTATAGAATTTTGCAGAATGCTGTGGATTTTGGATAAATGCATGTCACACGTAAAGAATAGAATTTTCGAACATTTCGGGATTTTTTCAGTTATGTTAAGCAGTATCCCAGCTTCCGTTATTGAAGAGCTAAAACTTTTAAATTCCCTTTGTATCACTACTGATGGTTTCGGATGTCCATAAAAAATAAATCTGAATAGTTGCAAACAGATAAAAGAGATATGAGAGAATAATTTCAAAAATGGAAAAATGGAGATTGAAGTTTTATTGGAAAACTGCCTTTATATTTGTAACTCATGTTTAAGAGCGAAGCTGATGCTAATGAATAGTTCTTGATCCTTTTCCGATCTATGTTAGATGAGAGCTTTGCTTTGCCTGTGCAAAAATATTTTAAAGTCTTTCAGAAAAGCACGAAAAAAATTTAACAAAAGTTTAGCGATCTATATTATGCTCTAAGTTTGAACAATGGTCTGATGTATTTCTCAGGCATTTTTTTCAGCAAGTGATGAGCTGTCCGAGAGGATAAATTTGAATTTGTCACGTTTAAGAAGGCTCTGGCGGAAATTTTATAGGCCTCAACCAAATACATGGCATAACAATCTCGGTGGCGGCTAGAACAAATGTCTGTATTGATAAAAGTATTTGGAGCTAGCAAGGACAAAGCAAAGAATCACTTCACTTGGCCGAGGAACCAGTTCCTCTGTTGTTGTCGCATAAGTAAATATTGTTGTTTCATTGGCGCTAAATGTCTCTGACTGATAACCACACAACCGGGCAATTTCATTTGAAAAACACGACTGTTTCTTCGCACATGGCATGAATACCATTTTCTTTGTCGTGTATTTATGCCTATTTCGATGCGCAAATGGTGCATTATGGGATTTAGTGACAACGGCGAGATGCGTATTGGGTTATTATCCTTGGGTGAGTTGCGTAACCTTTGCTTTGTTAGATAAGCACAATGGACACTCAAAAGCCACCACTGTGATATTATTACAAATTACTCCAGATGCTTATCAAATATGGATGCTATTGTGGATTTGGACATATTGGAGACTATGCTGAACCGGTAGATGGTCGCGATGAGTAATAATTCTTGTGGAAAAAGCAGAGCAGCAGATTCACTTATCTTTCAGATGCTGCAAAATTCATGATGAGTGCTACGGAAACCTGACCAAAAATAGGATTTGTCATTGTGCGCTGCAAGAGTACTTCACTCCTTACAAAAGGGACTGCTACATGATGAAAAGTGTAACTTGCAAAGGTAATCTCAAGGCGTTTTGAAATATTCTCAAAGTATCTTCTTGACTTAGATTTGAAAGGAACCTGCGGGCGCGGACTATGCGACTGTGATGCAGCAGTGGTGGAATGTTGAAAAGGTATCCCGAGCCAAAGAAGAGACTACCATGCAAGCGTAAAACAATGACTAAGACCGATACTTTTCAATTTCGATTGCCATCCTAATGCCAACATATAAACGAAACATACGGCAAAATCAAAAAATTTACAACCTTATATATGAACTATTTGTCTGTCTGTGTATCTTGTGTATGTATGTTCCGCTTAGCATTTTTTGTTTTCTACACCGACTCGGATCAAACTTTGCACACATGCACTTCGGGAAGGGACGGACGTTGGTCACTTTTCGTTATCGATCGGTATCTCTCTTATGATTTCTGGGTGAAGGACTGTATGTCGCCGAATTTGGAAGAGTCGCGCGCGGATTCCCTGCAGGAACGCATGTCCGCGCTTGCACAAGGGTGCGTATTTGTCGCAAATGACCGTGGGAATCGCCCTTTTTCGGCGACATATAGTCCTCCACCCTGGATTTCTTGCAAACGTTGAGCTAAGGGGCTGGGAGTTGGCACGGCGGAGTAAGCATGCTGATTACGAATACAATGGTAGAATTATCGACTACTCTTATCGATTTTACCGATTTTCTTACAATGCCCGAGCTACGGAGCTGGGAGTTGGCACATGACTCAGACAAATCTGCGCGCAGGCGGCGCGCACTGAATCAGCGAGCGATGTGCCTTCCCGCCGCCTGTGTGTGCAGTGCGCGCCGCCTATGGATTGAGGTCCGCCGCCTGCGCGCTACGAGAAAAATTTTGGCAGGAATCTGCTTGGCTTTTTGTTGTCGGTCTGAATATCTTATGTTTGTTGAACAATGTAGTTTCACAACTATTTTATTAACGAATAATATTTACAATTTTCAAACTCAACAGGCTTTTAACACAAATTGCAACAAAAATACAGAATTTACAGGATAATGCTGTCTTTGACAGCTGGCATTCAATACTATTAGCTTAGGTAGTACTTACAAAATTCACAGACATTTCAAAGTCAACATCAACAACGTATTTACATTCAAATGTGATATCAATAAGACGTGTGTATGAAGTAATGAATACAATGAAGTTGATAGTAACAAATGCAACAGTATGATGAGATAACTTGAAATAACCGCCAATAAAATCACTAAATACTTTGATAGATAGCCTGAACATGTATACATAGATATAAATACATAATATATGTACAGTTTTGGAGGAATAAAATATGAAAACGCGATAGCAATGAACAAAACGCGGACATGCTTGATCAGCCAGAATTAAATGCTCATAGACTTCATATACCCAATTCAACCACAGGAATCAAACAATTGAATGACGGTGACATGATGGGTATAAAATAAGAATTGGGATGGATGAGACATGAATGATCTGGATCAGCCTCGTCCTCGTCAGTTTTCGTAATGGTCTTTGTTCTATCAAGGGTTGATTCCATCAGTCGGCCCTGCTAGCCGCGAGTGCGCGCCGCTTGCGCGCAGAATTGTCTGAGGAGGTGCAACGACGCAAGAAAGCGTTATTGATTGAAAATGAGCGTCCCCGTGTCACGGGGTCAATATGATTAAGAACCAGAGGTAGAATAAAAGATATGCAAGACTGACTGAGAAACAAGAGTGAATTTGGATGGAATAAAAGAGGACGTGCTACAAAAAGGCAAAAAAATCGCATACTTGATTTCAAAACAATTTAGAAATAGAAAAAGAGGTGAAACAACAGAGTAAAGGTGAGGTAATAAACAAGACAATACCTTGTGTAAAAAAAAAACAAAGAGGAACGAGGAGAAACGATTATCTGCAAAAAATTCTGCATTTACGCGCGAAAGCAAGCTCCCCTTTCGCTTACGTGATGCTACAGAAAGTTTGCGCGCCGCCTGCCGCACACTGTGTCTGCGCGCCGCCTGCGAACATGCATTGCGCGCCGCCTGTGCGCTGCAGGGCCACGCCCACAAATCACGGTGCGCCGCCTGCCCTGCTGGCCGTGAGTGCGCGCCGCTTGCGCGCAGAATTGTCTGAGGAGGTTTAGCGGGTATGCTTTTCGAAAACAAAACGGGGCACGGAATTGGCATGTGGATATAGGCATAGCGAAAGGTACAGAGATAGGGTGGGACCTTTATCATAGCGTTTTGATAGGACCGGGCGGAGCCGGGTATGCCAGCTTATACGATGATTAGAACAAGCGTGTAGAAAAGCCAGAAAGACAAACATATGCTGTATTTAAACAAAATTGCCTTTGCGATGAAGTTTGTAGCTTTGGAGAAGAACCAATCTACTTGAAGTTAGATTTGTAAGTGCCCGGAAACTTTCTTTAGGACCTAATAAACTGGCCTGAAAACCAGAAATCGTGCCTGTTCATGGACTGCAGATTACCGTAATCCAACCATAAGACATTGTTGCAATGAGCAAGCATGATATTCGTAATCTGCATGCTTGAAACACCCTCTAGGGAAAGTTTTGAGTAAATTTGAGACTTTGACAACCAACTCACACCTATCAAGACCTATCACCTACCCAAGAAAATGGCGCCATCTTGCGAATTTAATATGACATATCGTCGATTCGTTGGCCGTACGGACTGCTCAACCGCTGCGGACCACATGCGGCGCGCTTAAAATGTTGCAAGAGCGCGATTTTAACAATGGCGAGTTTGTATTGGAGCAAACGTTTTACCTCGCGGCGCGTGCTCCGCGGTTATGTCCAGTCCTTACAGTCAACGAATCGACGATACATGTTCAGCGTGCTAAATAGCCCCTCTAGTCCAAATTCCAGCCAAATCTACAATTTCTCCTACCGTACACCTACCATACAGGGGACGTTTTCATGCAGAAATAGAGTGACAATCGTGACCAGTCAGCATGTCGACTAACCTCTCTCTGCAGAACTTCAGCAGGATCTGTGTTTTGGACCCCACATCGTATACCTACCGTAACCTCTCAAAAAATCTCATCCTCTCCTAATCTCGTCCTACCATGCGAAATAAATCCATTTTCGTGATTAGAACATCAAATAATCCCTGTATACAATGTTTTAGCGATAATCAAGATTTTTCACTTCTGGGTTGTGTCTGGAGTAGTACAAAAGGAAAGCAGATTTGAAATGATCGTTTGAAGACGCATCTACTAGTTTATATCTCGTCTTCACTCGCGAAGAGGAGTAATATCCTCCCATCATGCGACAACTCGTTACGAGGAAAACGCAGAAAATTCTGCTTTTGACATAAACGCAGATATACTGAGCCGGGATTGTCAAAATTCACGTAGACCAACACGTTGTGAAAATACTACTACGAGTATATTTGTGACAACATTCGTCCTCTTCTATCTCCCGCACTTTCTGCCCGGCGTCGCCCCGTCACAATGTCACCGCTCCGCAACCGCGCGCATCGGATCGATGGTGTTGAGATTTGAACGCTGCGCCGATTTTTTCCTTTCTTCACCGGCTCATGATTCTGTAATGAGCAAATTTGTATCATTTTATGGTCATAAAAGACCTGTGATTGGTTTACTCCGACTGTTTATTAATTTAATCATTCCTAATTTCAGGTAAACAGGAGCAAATTCGACAAAATCAGACATGAGGAAAGGGTGAGTGTTTGGTTTGATACATTGCGGAGATAAAGTCACAGTTATGTTTTACAGTGGTAAGCGAAAGCGAGAAGATGATGATGGTGACGTTTCCATGCATGGTGACGATGAGGATAGCCGAAGTGGCGTTGCTGTGAAGGTTGAACCACCTAAAGGTTTGGTTTGCTTTGGCTCAGAAATCTTGTTTTAACGGCGTGATAGTGTCAATAACTTTTAACATCTGTATTTTCGAATCTGAATGGTTCCCGGTTAACCAGTTTAGCACAGGGCTCGGCACGGGGTGGCAAAATGAAGTCCCATTTGATGTTCAGAATTGCGTACGAAGCCCCTTTGGCCCTAAACTCTGAACGTATCCCCCCCCCCCCCCACCAAAAACGGAACGTCGGCTAAAAACGTCGAATTTTTCTGTATTTTCGGCCACAAAAAGATATCCTTTGCTTTTTGTTTCAAAAACGATATCCAGCTTGACCCGGTGCCAGCTATGCCAAGCCCTGTTTTAGCAGGAAATATAAGCGAATTACGTGTATACGGCGCAACCATGAACTGTCATTCCGTGTTAGGAAATGTATTCAACGATATAATTTCAGCATATAATTGGAACCTCCACAGAAATCAAAGTATGTGACCATAGGGCCTCCTCTGCATGTTTATTTATTTATTTTTTGATGTCTCAATCCGACTGAGTTTGACCATCACAGCGAACTCTGCTTTAAGTTCTAGAATCAAGTTTTGTGTTCAAAAAAATGCCCTTTATCTTCGTCCTTTCGATATATCATAATTGATAACTGGTAAAAAATCTGTGTTGCAGCTCACTCTTATCTTAATGACCCACACAGACTGTTCAAAAGAGGTGAGATCAGATGATTTTCTGAGTACAAGGGGTACAAAGTGCATGAATTTTTGATGATCTTTTCTTGAGTTGATGATGGGATTTAGTTTATATGAATTCGAACATTGCATTTGTTGGGGCTAAGTAACTTCTATGTAGAGGCTGAAAGGTTCTTTTCAGGTCGCGAAAAAGATCCCGAATTCTCTGCTCCCAAGGGCCAGAAGCTTACAGATTTAGACGACGAATCGCATCATGCTGCTGGAAAGGTTCTGTCCTCTGCTTTTTCGATGTCTACGTCTTTTAATCAAATATGTTTTCTTAGGAAAGCGAGGGCAATGTGATTGAACAAACCCATTATATAGTTGTTCCATCATACGCGTCTTGGTTCGATTACAATGCGGTGCACCAGATAGAAAAGCGAGCCGTACCAGAATTTTTTAATGGCCGTAACAAAAGCAAAACACCGGAAGTGTAAGTTCCCTTTTTTGGCTTTCCAAGTACATTTAACACTTACCTCTATCGTTCATTTTTTGAGGTACCTATCGTATCGCAACTTTATGGTCGACACTTACCGGCTTAATCCATTTGAATACCTTTCTGCCACAGCATGTCGAAGAAATCTTGCTGGTGATGTCTGCTCAATTGTCAGGTGTGTTGCTTTATTCTCGCAACTTTTAGTCTTTTGGAATATGTTCTATATAGGGTGCACTCATTCCTTGAGCAATGGGGCTTGATAAACTACCAGGTGGACTCAGATGCTCGTCCTGCACCGATTGCTCCTCCACCGACTAGTCATTTCATGGTTTTGGCTGATACTCCTACAGGTGTTCAGCCGATATGCCCTGTTGTGTCGAACTTTGCAGTAAGTCAACGTTTTACCTGTTCAATTGAAGCATCGCTATACCTTAATTTAGCCGGAGAAAAAGGATGAAGATGCTGAGAAAACGCCTATTGATAAGTTGTCTAATGTAGGACTCAAGACCGATCAGTATCAAAAACAACTCGCAGCTATGAAAGTATATTTTTTGTGTTCATGTGAGATACTTCTGTTCGGTATATCTGACTTGTCTTCAGACTAAGGGAGCTGCTCCAGGACGTGATTGGACTGATCAAGAGACGCTTTTGCTGCTTGAAGGTTTGGAGATGTTCAAGGATGACTGGAACAAGGTGAATTATACAGCGTATATAATGCTATGCTAACAACATCTACTGGTCTTGTTGTTCTATGATTTCTGATTACATTTCCATATATTTTGTTACCAGGTATCCGATCATGTTGGATCGAGAACTCAGGATGAATGCATTCTTCGATTCCTTCAGTTGCCCATTCAAGATCCATATCTTGGATCAGACGAAGCAAATGGTCCTGGAAGTGGTGACTCTATCTTAGGTATGCTGAAAGAGGCGCTCCAAGTTTTTTATCGTAATCACTTTCCTCATTTATAGGACCTCTGGCCTTCCAACCCATTCCTTTCTCCCAGTCGGGCAACCCGGTGATGTCCACGGTAGCGTTTCTAGCATCCGTGGTCGATCCAAAAGTTGCACAGGCAGCCACGAAGGCAGCGATTGAAGAGTTCGCCAAGATAAAAGATGAGGTAAGCTGAGTTAAATGTGATGTGTCGGTCACTCTCTCAAGTTATTTAGGTGCCGGCATTGATGGTCGAAGCACATGCGCGAAATGTACAAGCGCACGAGGAGAAAACAGGCGTGCTCGATGGAACCGTAGGTCTATCTAAATCCGGGATCGCTACTGACGAGAAAAAGGAAAAGGAAGAGGGCGAGAAGATGGAGACGGATGAGAACGCGAAAAAAGCAGATGATGCTACCATCGAGCACGCAGCTAAAGTGGCTGTAAGCGAAAATGTCCAAGCTGCTGCTGCGGCTGCTCTCGCCGCTGCCGCAGTAAAAGCTAAGGTTAGCGCTTATTTTCTAAAAGCTTCTTTTTTGTCAAAATCAAATGTTGATCAATAATTTACTTGCAATTTAGCACCTCGCCACCATCGAAGAACGCCGAATCAAGTCATTGGTGGCTCAGTTGGTGGAGACTCAGATGAAAAAGTTGGAAATGAAGTTACGGCACTTTGACGAGCTAGAGCAAATTATGGATAAAGAAAGAGAGGCTGTGAGTTGCTCTCGCATTCCTCTCCTTTTTTGAGTTGCCTTAATTAGAATGTTGTTCTGTATATGCTCCTTGGTTCAGTTAGAGTATCAGCGCCAGCAGCTTATTCTTGAACGACAAGCTTTCCACATGGATCAGCTAAGATATTTGGAGCAACGTGCTAAGCATGAAGCACATAGTAAAATGGTAGCAGCGGGGCAAGTGAGTTACTTAGTATCCTTTATATAGTAAGTACTTTTATCTTTGATTCAGTTGCCAGCATCGTTACCACCTGGATTTGAAGTGAGTGGTCCTCCTCAACCGACCCCACAAGTGCAAGTAGCTGTTCCTCCTGCTCATGAACGTAAGTATTTTTGAATGTAAAGGCTCATTAGCATTCCGGATGTTTTTGTTCGAGTTTTGATTCTGCGCTTTTCAGGCTGCAGTAACTTTAAAATATTTTCAGCGACTACAGAAAAGACGAATGAGGCGTCGGCAGAAGCTGCTGCAGCTGCGGCACGAGCCTCTACACCTGGGCAACCACCAGCTGTACAGCAGCAGCAGATTCCGGCATCTCAGCAACAACAGCCTGCAGCGCCTCCTGCCGCCCAGCCCCCACCTCAAACATATCCTCCTGCACCTGCAGGTGTTCAACAACCAGGAGGATATCCTCCTCAACCTTACCCTCCTCAAGCTTACGCCCAACAGTCACAGGCTCAAGGCGCTTATCAGGGATATCCTCCTCAACAAGGTTCGTTGCCATTTATCTATTGTAGATTGAAATTAGTTGATTAACTATTTGAAGCTTAAATAGTTTCTTTAAAGGATATCCACCGCAGCAAGGCGGTGCTCCCGGCTATTACGGACAGCCACGGCCGGCCGCATATGCCCCACCACAGCCAGGCGGTTATCCTCCACAGCAGCGGCCACCGTATCAAGGGCAGCCACCTAACGCATATGCAGCACAGCAGCAAAGACCGGGTGCCTACCCAGGTTATCCTCCTCAAGGTATGGCTCATTAGATTTTGAGGAACTTTTGTCTGTAGCTTGCATCTTTTCAGGGCATCCTGGTTATCCTCCTCAGCAGTACGCACAACCGCCTGCTGGCTATCCACCACAACCGCAACCGGCGCAGCCACCTCAGCTTGACATGGCTGATGCAGCCACTCCGCCTATGCATCAAGGTAAGTGTTATTGTCGGTAGTAAATGGATCAATTTTGAAAATTAGTTTTTTTCTTTTCAAATTGGTAGTGTTAGCATTGGGGAATGTAGAAAGGGCTAGTGATCAATATTTACCGCGTACACACTGAGTTTAGGTTTGTAATGAAAGTGACGTGCGCTTCTGCTCGTCCAGTGGTGACGTCCTTATTACAAGCTGTAAATAATTTCATAAAAACCATTATAATAACTTGAACCTTGATGACTTTTAAATGTTAGCTTTGCAGGGCAACCCGGCGAGGTGAAACCTTCGGAATGAATAACGTGATATTTATATTACGATGAATAATTTCCTCTTGTCACCAAAAATCTTTTAATCTGCCCCTTGTAGTCGAGCAGAACATCCATCCTTCCGTCAGTTACATGCTGTTATGTGATCGCTGTTCGTTTGACGTGGTTAATCGTTTGCGTCTTGTGAGACGGTTCACTGCTTCTAATTTATTCTCTTGTATTATATGACCGGTTCTCACATTATCAAAGTTGAAGGTCTCCGTTTCTTCCCCCTTCCCACGCATATTTTTGTAGGTTTTGTTTGTGCAAATTTCATAACTTCATTCTTGTCTCTGTAACCCTACCTTTTACGATTTTTAGTGTGACTAATTGAAAATAAATCCTTGCTGAACAATTATCACTTGTTTTGTGTGAGTTGATGCTTTTATATCTTTGAGAGTTGTGATGTCCGGTTCACGCAAAGTTGAATTACGCACTCTGAAAGTCCACTTTCTCAGGGTTGAGCCAGACTTCGCGGGGAAGCGGCGTACGCAGCGTACGCTCGGTATATTTCATCATAGGTAGGTGCCAGAGTAAGCGAATATTTTGTTCAGGTTGGGGTCCCGCGCAGAATTGACGTCACTTGGATTGACGCCAGCATGCTGAGAGACGTCAATTCTGCGCGGGACCCCAACCTGAACAAAATATTCGCTTACTCTGGCACCTACCATAAGGGCATACGCGGCGTACGCTGCGTACGTCGCATACGCCGCGCAGTCTGGCCCAACCCTCAGTGGGAATTTTCTTTTTAATGAGTTTCGAATCTCTAGCTATTTAACGAGGCTGTATTCACGGACAAGTGTGCATGCATCCCAAAAAAGCAAGCTTCCATCTTTTGTGAAATAAACTCTTCATCGAACGCAGTTTGTGAAAAAAAAATGCAGAAATCAACGTTGAGTCGAGCGAGGTTGATCTATACTATATCTGATCGACTAGAAATAGCCGTGTTGATTGCGTTGTCGCTTCAAGGATGTAACTCTTACATCTTTATTTTCTTTTCTTAGGATGATCCAAAAACGACACTATTTATAACATGGGTGCGTATCTCTGTAATCAGTTGGAAAGTCTGAATTGATTACGTTGCAGTATGGCTCTGCCTGAATCGCTAATGTCTGTCCATTCTTCAAGCGGTGTCGAGACTCAGTCTGCAGACGTCGAGGAGGACATTACTCCAGAAGAGGTAATCTGTTGAGTTTAGGCGGTCTGACTGTCAATAGTGCTAATTTTCTCTCGAAATTGAGAGATTGTAATATTGTTCATGTTTGATTTTCATTGACAATATCGATCGTTTCATAATCCAAATGGGATTTTTTTTCGAAATTATTTTGTTCTAATCGCAGCTGGCTCATAACTTCGAATGTCCTGTTTAAGTTTCCGGTAAACAACCAGTAAAAGATGCTAGTTTTGGGCATTTGTGAGAAAGAAACTGAGATGGTACTCAAAAATGGAGTTATCTGTTTCAATCTTGCTTTGCTGTTGCACTTACGATCTGCAACAACGGGTAAGAATTTGCATTTATGCTAGACACCTGAAGGTCTAGTGTGATCTTTTTCGTTACCATATCTATTTCCTAACTACATTTTTTCGTAGTTTATTTGCTTTGTTTTTTTTTGTTGTAGCTGCGGACAATCTGCTAACCACAGATTAAGATTATCTGAAAAAGATGACAGTTTTTTTCTAGATTCTTCGTCAGATGAGAGTCGCTTGGCAGAACGAGATGGCTGCGCCGTGTCTTTTACCTCATCGTTTCGACATCATAGAATGTTTGGTGGATCAAATAGAAGGAATGGAGGAGAATTTGTCAGGACGAACAGACAAGGTCAGCTAATGACAGAATTTAAGAATCTTCTAATTGCTTGAAAGAGGTTGAACTTTTATATTTACAGACGAGTATCAGAATATCTGCACATCGGCTTGAGCTTCATCGTCTTACGTACATCACTAATGACTACATGCGGCGACGTTTGCAAAAAATTGAGCAGAATCCAAGACGGGCTTTGCGAGAGAATCAAGAGCGATTGGCCGAAGGTTCGTTCTCGTACGTTATTTATAACAATCAAAAAAAAAACCTGTAGGAAAATCCGCATTACTGTCGGACCAAGAGAAAAGATTCGCCGAACGCTACGCAAAGGCAGAAGCTCAACTCATGGGAAGAACTTGCTTAGGTGAGTTCTGAAAGAGATTTCAGTTACATGTACAAATGTATGCAAACGACTGTTTAGGTCGATTGCAGCCTTCTTTCCAGAAAATTCCTGTACCTGTTTTGGATTTGGAATGTGAAAGGGTTAGCCCTGAGCTCACTACTCCTATTCTCGATTTCATCCGTGTTCTTATTTAGGTATACGCCGAGGTTGTGGCTGACAACGCCGAGGCTGCTATCGTCCCCGACTATCAAGACAAAAGCGCTGAGGTAGTAGTTGAACTAGAAAAGGGCACGGTACATTTGTTACCATATCTTTCTGTACAAGAACATGTGGAACAAGGCACAGTCCGGCTTTTATAATATTTTCCTGCTAGTATATCTCAGTCCTTAATTCTTAGAATGTTTTTCACTTGTTCGTGCACGGATTTCTTGCTCACTTACTGTACATTCCCTATACAATATCGGGTAATTTTATCGCAAGAATCACTTTGTGTATCGCAATTTTTTCTTTTTATCGTTTTTTGGTTTGTTTTTATTTTCCATAAAGATAATCTGATCTTAGCATAGTTCCTAGCTATTTCATTTGCATTTAGGCCTGTACAAAATGAAGGTTGTACCACTTCCTCCTTAAGCTCTTTCTGTTTGTATCTCATCCGTCTTTCTTTTTTCTCTTGATTTACTTTGTGTTGCTGTAGGAGAAAGGAATGACATCTTTCGACAATTTGGAATATTTGTTTAACCAGCCTATCGAGAATAAATCAAAACTTGCGTCGCAGTAGGCTTCTTCTGGCGAGGATGCATGGGGATTTTCTGGTTGAAAGCGCCATTTCTTGGGTCCATTTTGCAAGTGTCTACTTTGAAGTATTTTTTGTCATGTCCTGCACTTAAAGGCAGTGGCTCGGCAAAACCAAACATATCGAAATTTTGATATGGAAGGATTACTCGAGGTAAGCGAAAAACCTTCAAGTTGAGAATTTGCCGAGCCACTGCCTTTGTGAAGAAAGATTTGTTTTGGGATAGATAATTTCCTTATACAAGAGAGTATCAGCGCTTCATTCTAGAATCGCCTGCGCAAATATCTTTGGAAAGTCCTGGCAACTGTGTTTGATTGCATCGTTTTAGATTTCGATTTTGTAAAGAGTGTTTTAAGGGTTTACAGTACGCTGATCGTAGTGATGGAGACTCAATTTGCCAGATTATTTATAAATACATACAGCAGTTTTCTACTTCATCCTCATAGTGCGCATTCGTCGTCGCAACAATATAGCTCTCCACCAACTTTGTATGACTCTAGCTGCCGTTTCGCTCAGCTCAGCAAACACTAACGCACCCTGAGAGCGAAGATACTCGGCTATCTGAAATTGTGACAGTCATGAATTTGAATTTCTTAAAAAGCTCAAGACTTACACTGCTATGCTTGTTGTCGATTGCACACTGTAAGCAAGTTTTCCTCGCATCGTTTACGGCATTGGGAGCAGCACCACCTTTGAGCAGAGCAAGTACGCAGTCCATTTTACCTCGACTGCAAGCCACATGGAGTGCGGTCTCACCTGAAGAAAACTCGTCAAATGCGATGTTTTTTATTTATTCTGAAATTTATACCGTGTTTATCCTTCCATCCAGTCAATGGCGAGATGAGACAGTCGTCCTCAGCTTCTATCTGAAACATACTGCATTAGCTTGTGGCTAACGCAGAAAATGCACAGGCTGTGATGACGCGGTTTGATTCCATTTCATTTTTCATGTTTACACGTATCTGATGCAATACATAAGACAGGAACGGATTTCCTTCGACCAAGTTAATGAAAGGAGACTGTGACAGTGAGAAGGGGGAGGGCTAAGAAAATAGGGAAAGAATAAGCTGCCGTTGGTATGCTTAGGACATGACATAAACTGCGTTGAGCAAGAAATACTTAGGTCGTAGCATAAGTTCTTTTATAATTGAAAATCTTTCAATGAGTTTTTAGCAAATGTCTCCTCATTTTCAATCACAGAGGATTGTTGCTTTTCGTTATAAGCATAAAAAATGAAAATCACTCGTAGGTTTTTATACAAATAATCCATCTAAAGTAATTTGCCAGAGAGTTCTTCATAACTAAGAGTGATTCGCGTTAAAGAGCGCAGATTTCAACAACCTTTATATCAGAATGGCCACAAACTTATGAAAAACCTAAATAAATGAAATGAGAGAATTTTCAGAAAAAAATGGGGTTGAGCCCATTTCCGAGTTTGCGTTTAATTCTATTCTCTTGATGTTGCGAAGGTGAGAAGATGCTCGTGGACAGCTATCTGCCTCTTGTGTGTCAAATACTAGACTTTGTCGATTTTGTTAAACTTTTCTAGAAGAAGACAAAGGAAGTTCAGCCAAGATTTATATCCCAAAGTGGCGTACCGTGTGGGAGGGTGGGGGGGGGGGGGGGAGGGAGAGGGGGAGCCGATGGTCGCAGGCCGGGTCGTGGGGTCCCGAAGTTTTGAAAGTACTTAGACGTGTTATGAAAATACGCAACTTATTTTTACTTGTAAATAATTAGAATAGTTTCAAAAACTCTCACAAATTCAAATCAGTTTTGCAAAAAAATTTTTTCGGAGCTTGGCTGCCGCTATGCCCCCTTCTTCTGAAATTTCGAGATCAGTGGCCGAAAAGTTTTGGGAAGCATCCCAAAAAAGTGGAGTGCGTGATAACGCCACATACGTTCATCCGGAAAGTTTTTTAGCCGCACCCCCTCCCCCTCCCCCGCGAACGGTAATTCTGGATACGCCACTGTATCCTAATATCTGGGCGCTTTTCCACTCACTCGATGGGACCCTAAACCCGAACAGTGGGACCCTAAAATTTGAATATTTTTTAATAACTTCTATATTACTCACATTCAGAAGCACATTGATGCAAGCAGTGAAACCAGCAAAAGCTGCAGCATGTAGTGGCGTCTGTCCGAGGGCATCAGTGATCGGAACACGTCGATGCCTAAGTAATTTTTTGTTGGAGACTTTGATTGTCTGGTAAGTAAATTAAACTACTACTTAGTACTTACTTTTCGACTGTGCGCCATTCAAATCCCAATTCCTTAATCATACAGTAGAGGGTATGTGCTTGGCCACCGAAGCATGCCCAATAGACAGGTGTTCTCAAAAAAAAGTAAATCAAATTCTAA